TTTTCATCAAGACATTTGGAAAATTTTTCTCTGCGTTCTTACAAGTTAATTTTCACTAAGCTGACTATATATAAGGACGAAGAAAAATTAATGAAAAAGGAAATGGTACAACTAATATTCTAGCTATCCTAGTTAAATTTAGGACATCGTACCCTTCTTAATGTTTTCATCAATATTTTGTCATGGTTGCGCTCTTAGTAAAAAATGACTAGAGTAGCAAAAATTTGGCGATTTTTCGTAAAATATCTCAAACTACCCAAATTTAGGAATCTAGGAAAGACATGAATGTTAATACAATTAAAAAAAGTTGTTGAAAACTTTAAGTAGATACGCTTTTAAAAGGGCTAGCTAACATTTTAGTTGCACTCATTTCATTTTTCATCAATTTTCAGAGTAATTTTCTTACATTTGCTGTTCATATTAAAAATAAAGTACAAAAGAATGTAGGTATACTGAACGATGTATATAGACATTCTTTTAAAGGAAAATAGTTACTAATCTGCTAATATTTCAATTATGAGGGATGAAAACTAATTGGATTGTTGCATGGTGGGTTTAATTATATGTTAAAAAAAGTTCGTAAAACCAAGTGCACGTTCTTGGTGGGTGAATAACGAGGTGTTTATTTTTAGGCAATCGCTAACCATTTCATCTTTTCCACCAGTCATACCGACATCACCGACTGGATCGAACCAACAACATTTTAACAGTTGGTTAAATTTTTTCTTGTGACGTTTGTCCTCATTTTGAAAACAAAATATATATATAAATATTGTAATAATCATTAGAAGGAAACTATTAATTTGAAGAGAAAAAATATAGGAATTCAAGTATCATGCAGCTTACGATTACTAAAGTATTTTTTTTACTTATTATTAGTTAGCTTAACCACTAAAAGTCTGCGTAAGTCCAGTTTAATTGTTATCAAAAGTTCTCAAAATAGATAAAGATAATGTTAATTGACCTTAACCCATTTACGTATCTTATGTTAACCTTATTTTTACAGCAACTGAAATTTCAATTCGGTAATCCATATTTTTTAATTTGAAAGTGTTTTTAGGCTGTTTGAAAATAGTAACGTGACTAGTGTCGGGTATCGTCAATGAAAGTTAATGAGACACAACAACAATAATTATCTATCTTTATTAGTCAGCATGTAGTTATGATAACTCACAAGAATAATATCTTGAGAAAATGTGTTAACTTATATGTGGGAGGCTCTTTTAATAGAATTATCAATCAGTTTATTTTTATAAAAAATGTTTCTGTTTGTTTTTCTAGGGTAAGGGAACTTAAGTTTTCAAAAACCCGAAAATATGAGGACTATGTTTTCATTTTGCTATACATCTCATAAATCAGCACATGCATCCTTTTGAAAATTTGTTTCGACTTATTAAAGACGTTGAAAATATTTCCTGATGATAAATTGAATGAAATACATTAATCGAATTGTTTGTAAATACTTGTCAGTTTGGACCCATATGCAAAATTATCGTTTCACAATCATTTTTGCTGTTACGTTCGTAGTACATGCGGGTTTTATCTTTACTACAAATCTTTATGCTTCTACGTAATTTAAACACTGACAGCTGCGCAAAAAAAAATTAATGTGATGCGTTATACATAAATTATTCACAATCAGAAAAATTGGTTTGCTACTAATGCATACTATTACTTATCTGTACTTTAAAAACGGGAAAGTATACATATTATAAATTGGATCTGTTTGTTATTTGTAACATATCGTCATCATTAATCATTTTGAAAATTAATGATGAACAGTCATGAGGTGTTAAATATAATTTCAGGAACTTGTAATTTCAACATTTTCAGTTTTTACGACCACTTGCGTGTGGTAACGTAGAGAAATAATTGCAGCCGTGCAAAAATTCTGATATAAATTAATTAAAATAATTGCTACAAGGTCCTTGTAGGTATATGCTCTGTAAAATTATGTAAATTAGGGTTAGAATATTATGTAAGCAAAAGTCTTTTTTAACGAATTATATTTGAAATGTTCACTATCCTGTAGAATCTCAGGCTCACTTACATTGATATTAATAGTCGAATCGCTCGAATATACTATTCGAAATCTCCGAAACGTATAGTCACAAGTTGAAATTTTATACGAAATATTTTCACTCAGTAAATGTAAAATACGGACAAATATTGTTCATACGTGCATTTAAGAAATTTCATACGGAAGTCATAAAATTGACGTTGTTAGGTTTTCGCCAGTCATTTACTTTTCGTGCTGTTTTTAAAATAAATCAAAACGTACTTCAGGTTAATAAGGGAATTGTTGCAACGAAATTTTGAGTTTCTTTGATATTTTAGCGTTAGCAAATAA